TTGTTTGGATCTGACACTTTGTTGTATTTACGCTAAAAGGAAGTAGAGGATTATATCACAGTACCATTGTTTATGTCCCTCAGAACTTATTAAATTCCTACCAACATGCAAAATGCTTTATGTAGTTAGAATTGCCCAACAGTTTGAATGCTACATATCCTGACTAGGTCAGCTTGACTTGCAGTCAACGTAGAAAACGTGTTGTCTACTAATCAATGTGATCAATAACTTCAAGATGGTAAATTGACCAACCACACCTTTGTGTTTGAATGGACAAAGACAGATCATGGATACCCCAAAACTGATGAATAGCGTGACCAAATACGATTTATCCCTCAGTGGTCACTTCGGGATCTGTTGTTGCCTAGAAATTGATTAACGAGCTGCGGTGAACAGTCGAACCGCTTGCCTATTAGCAACACACCCGTCCGGCCTACTCTATGGGTCATGGCCTGCTTCTGTGCAGAAGTTGAAGACTCCGCAATTCGGAACACATATTGCGTAAGGATATTGTATCGGGCACGTTGAACTCTGCCAAGTATAGTATATCTCCGATCCTTTCAGCGTTCTTGGAGTCCCTACGTCTTTGAGTCCTAGTTACCCCTTCCTGGACACTCACTCTACCATTTTATGTTCAACATATACAAAGGATTACTACCGTTATCATTCAAGCTGTGAACACGCATATAAAATGGGAGAGAAGTTAACTGAATGGATAGCTCGTTCGGTACTCGATAGCCATCGATGCATGCCCTCTACAAAAGTCGGAAAAATGTGTTCAGGCCTGTTGTATCCAGTATACGTCAGTAAGTACGCAAGTAGTGAATTAAGTAGTTATTCTATTTTCAGTGTGTAAATGCAAGAGTAGCCAGTGCGTAGGCCGGTGAGCAAGCAGCGCACCAACACTCAGACAGGCAGGCACAAAACTGGCGCAAATGTTACCAAAAGGAGTATGTCATCACTTTGGGCATCCAACGAACCAATCATTGCGGACAGGCCAATACTGACCTCTGATTGGCTGAGGCGGATCGACCTTATAACAGAGTACGTCCGCATGAGGTGCGTACGTGCGCGTGGCGGCGGGCCACAACGGTCAATCACGCGATGGGCATATCACCCGACTACAGTCCACAACGAAGCAGCTGTACCGCTCATTCACGCGCATCGTTTGATCAGCTTTTAATTTAAGTGTTACATATGTGGCTTTGTGTCACAACTGGACGATTACTTCGGCAAAAATATGCTTCCAATACATTTATCTGAGCCGGATTTTGGGCTAGTGAGATGCTTTGCACCTGTGCGTGTGACCAGGTTGGATGGGAACCACTCTAAAGGCTAACAACATTGGAGAAACCACTTTGAAGATCGATGTGTGCTTAAAAATTACTTTATGCCATTTTGTGAACGGCTCTCTCTAAAGTGAAAAAGTCGATCGGTCTCTACAATATTCATTCTACAAGATGAACATTCTATTTCATTTTTAAGTGAGTGAAATCTCACATCAGGATTCGCCGGAGGTTAAATTTGTTTCTAGATAATATATGGGATTCCCATTGATCAAATACTTGTTTACATGAGGAATTTCTTAGTAAATGAGGGGGGATGCTAACTGAAAAGCTATGAAGTACTGTAGAGCTGTTTCTGACTGTTTGAATCTCATCAGCGCTACGAATCCATCCACAAAAAGGAGGATAAAACCCGTGACCTCACAGGTAGATCCTCCACTTGTTTAACCATTGATTTATATTATATTATAGTTCACACTTGTCTGAGGAAAGACTGTGTGCCAGGCAAATCATGATACAATAATCTTTATAAAAAAGAATTTAAAACGTTTCATGATTGGCTTGTGGCTCAATACTGCCAGGTTGCCCAGGTCAAGGCAGGTGAATTTTCTTAAGGAACCATTGATGATGAAATCAACAAGCCCGAAACAGCTGTGTAGTGCTTCTCAACTTTTCAACCCATGTTCTCTTTGCCCTATGTGCCACGAGACGCATTGCACAGCAGAATCAAATCCTCCTCGAGTCACAAAAGCAATCAGGATGGTTCACAAACTTGTTAAATACTTGTTTTTCTTGTTTTGTAAACCAGAATGGTTATTGAAATCACAAACTAACACAGAGCGATTTCATGGTCAGTCATACTACTAACCTAATAATCTTGTTGAAAAGAATAATGAACTGATTTAATGCAATAGTTGGTAGCGGTTGCGGACTATGTACAAATTTGATTTTAAAATCATTGATTTTTGGGCCTTGTTTTATTCTTCCAACCTTTTCCATATACATAGTTCGACTACTTACTTCTTCGTTTGAGTAGATAGACTCTGAATGTGGTAGATTGGAGTGTCCGTTTTTTCTGTATCCAGGAGTTTTGTCTGTACCACCATCCATCACAATGCCCTAGTTAGTTTGGTGTAAAAATCCAACATGAATCGTGTTTTATTACCCTTAGATTTATATAATGGATTTAAAGTGTGCTACTTTCACCATGCTTCGTTCAGATTCCTTTTTGACGTGACAAAATCAATAAAAGGACTGGTGACGGCCCTTTGCCTAGTCGAGCGATTTTACTGTCTAAAGTCTTGTCATTGTTCTAATCAAACAGTCATGCAAATGTTTGAACACCACCGAAGGGATAACGCGACATATTTGAATCCAACCTACTCTGCAATGATTACTGCTCTTGGTTTTATGAACCTAAAATAGGTTTACGATTGAATGATGATGAATTGTATCATATTATTGTATTACATTGGAAAGTGTTTTGGAGTAACATACTATGCTCAGTGCACTTCTTTATGACTGCCTAAATTACTTTATAAGGTCCATCTGTCGGCTGAAATTATACTTTGCACGTTACTACTATGGTTACGTTGCGGTGTTCTCAATACGTCCCACTCATTAACTTTTTAATCATCATTGATTACTTCGAGCATTTCAACTGCTGTTAGCTGAAAAATAATTTTCCCTTTTACCTGAAAAACAGGGGTCTTATTACAACTTATCTCGTCCAAGGCGCAGAAGTGAGCGCTATCACAGCTCCACGTCAATGGGAAACTTGGGTACCGCAGCATATCCGACAAGGACTTACGAACCGGTTTCAACATTGCCCAGGAACAATACATTCAAGCGTGGTACCTCCGTTGTGGAATCGACTGAAAAAGACCATAGACCCCGTGCATATGCCACAGTCCAGCATTCCGGGAACCGTCGTGCTCGACCAGCTCTTCGTTATGAAGATGAAATGGAATTCTCACACGGTATGCAAAGAACAAACACATTTGGTCCACCTCCCGAAGAGCAGCAATGGATAGGTGAGATCGAAAATCGTCCTGTGTCTGAATCACACAATGCAAACACCGTGTGGAATGAATCAGACCTACGTTTGGTGAGTTCCATATCCACCATAACAAAGTTCAGTTCAGTTCAGTTTAAACAACCATTAGGCATGCAGTTCCTTGCGACGCTTTTGGTTGCTGTCTTTTGGCTGCCTATTTGGGTGAACAATAGGAGGAAAACAGGAAAGTTGAAAGTAGGATTGAATATAAAATTGAGAAGTTCAGTGGACTAATGATGCAGAGAAATTGAGAAGGTAAAAGAACGTCACTGTTTACGATACCCAGCCATATCACTCAGTGTGTCTAATCATCGGGTACGATCATCCCGAAGTTCCCAGCCAGGGAGTCTAACGGGACCTATATGACCCAGACACCTGGTTAGGATTTTCATCCCCTCATGCCAGGCCTTAGCTTCGCCGCCCTTGGGTTTACTCCACCCTCTACCTACCTCGGTAAACATCGCTTGCCGTTGCAACCTTTCCCATGACATGCGTAACATGCCCCAACCAACGTAATCTATGGAGATCGACCATTTGATCCAGTGGGCGACCGCGGTTGCCTAAAACTTTGCGCCTGACCTCAGCAGTGCTCGTTCGGTTGCCCCACCAGATTCGTGCAATGCTGCGTAGACAGCAGTGTTCAAACACCGGCAGTCTATTTTTATCCTGTTTCCTGAATGGCCAAGTTTCTGCGCCATGTAGCAGAACTGGCCGAACTGTCGCACCATACACTGGACCCTTCACAGACAGCCGGATCTCGCGACGGCGCTACAGGTGTCTCAAGTTGGCAAATGCCAACCGGGCCTTCTGTATGCGAGCTAACACTTCATCCGTGATGCGTCCATCAGGTGAGATGTAGCTGCCCAAGTAACACAACTTATCCACTTGCTCTACTACTTCCCCAGTTAGAGTGAGTCTTGGTTCTGGACCAATCTGATATTGTAGTAGTATTTTACACTTTGAAGGTGCACAACGCATACCGAACATGGCTACACTAGCACACAAACTATCCATAAAAGTTTGCAACTTACCTGTATCTTCACTTAGTAGCGCAATATCGTCTGCGTACTCTAGATCAGACAGCCTGCTGCCTGGCAGCAAATCGATGCCACCATCCTCGCACGAGGATAGGGCTCTTTCTATGAGCAAATCTATAACTATGTGAAATAGGAAAGGAGAAAGAGGTCAACCCTGACGAACACCACTTTCCGTGGTGAACTCGGGCGAAAACGTACCGTAAGCTCGGATTCGACTTTCGCTATGAGTTTAGAGGGATCGTAATAATGAAATAAAATTATCGGGCACACCCTTCAGGAAAATGCAGAGCCAGAGTTTAGAGTGGTCTACTGCGTCGAAATCCGTTTCCAGTTCCAGGAAGATAGAGATGTTGTGTCTACAAAAAGAATGTCGGTGCTCTAGAGTTTGGCGAAGAGTGAAGATGCGGCCGATACAACCTCGACAAAGGTTTCCCCCTCATTGAATTTCACACCTCCACATGCCGATTATTTGCTTCGAAACGATGACTTTATGCAAACGTTCAGATATTCGTTTGTGACCTATGAAAAAAACTGATAAAATGTTAATACTATGCTGTCGAAGTCGATAAGTAGAGAGAACGAAAAACCACAGCACATAGCCAATGCAGACTGATTTTCCCAGCTACTTGAAAATTTAAAGACCTAAGCTCAAGCCCAAAATTGTGATTCTTCATCAAACTAGCTAACTTCTTCGTGCTTATTACGGCAACCGACTCCATCATCACTTGAAATTACGTCTGACCGTTATTACTCTTGAAATACCTAGAACTATTTATGCTGATTCTCTCACATTAGGAGGGATTTATTATTTATTTCCGAATATTTAGCTAGACACATTGTGTGACTCAAATGAAATTTGCAAAAGCAACCATAAAACCTGCATATACTGTAAAAATATATGGAACAAGACAGAAGAAAGCAAACTAAAAAAATTTAAGCACGAAAGATTCAACAATAAATACCAAAATTGGCCCATGATGTGTAGGTTATTTAGGAATAAATGACACTGTCAACGACATTGTCCTTGAATCCTCATTAAAAGTTGACTGTTTTCATTAGAAAACAGATATATCTAACCTTAAGTCGTAACCTTTACCAAAACCCTCAAATTCCGGATAACAATACGGAGTCACGACCGTAAAAATCGTGTTGCTCATCCTACTGATGAGTAGGCAAAAATAAACATTAAAATATTGGCTGGCGTTTGGCTCCTAGACGAACGTGTTCTGTTTGGTTACTTATGAGTAGATCAACTTGAAATTGTATCCAGTTAAGAGTTATTTCATCCCCCGTGCATTGCGTCTTTCGTTGAAGGCGTAAGTTTCAATAGTGAAACATGAACTACTAGGGTGTTCAGTTGTTTTTTGACCTGAAGTACCTCACCAAGATTTTCCCTGTAAGTTGAGAATCTTAGCCTTCACTCGACCTGAGGTCAAAATAGCGACCACAGTAAGTTAGCGTACTTCTGGGGCATTCCTTCAATCTACATGTAAAAGGTGCCGAATAGGGCAATCACTCTTATGGTCATGGTAACAGCAAAGTTCCCACTCCGTTCTAACTGACATGACACTATATCTAATGATCTGTTCGTGCCATACCAGGTGATTCACTGAGCTGGAAACACTGTTGAGAAAAATACGCCAGCTGCCATTGATTTACCCTTGTATTCGAATTGACTGTATCGGACGGCAGTGGGTGATCACAACTCACAGGTCAATTCACATACTTCCTGAATCGTCTGTGTATCTGGTGCGGAAAGTCAACCGCTCTGTTTCGACCTTTCGCTGTTCGTTAAAAATACTCCCAGTTAATAACCATTGCATGATGGACTAAACGAAAGATGACAAAACAGATTTGGTTTGACTGAATGCATCGAGTTTGAGTTTTCGGTAATCGTGCGAACAAATCAACCGTCTCAATCCGCTAAAATAAAAACAGGTAAGTTTATCTGTGAAAAATGCACTATTTTCTGCAAAGTGGGCTGGTTCAGAGCGGAATGAATATAATCCGAAAGATGCCAGTGACTAGAGAGAGAGAGAAGTTGAGTAATAATGTGAAAAGGGTTGTGTCTACACTACCGCCCAGCACGATTCGGAGTAGAAAAATGTCACCGCTTTCCACCTTTATGATAGGTGGCTCGTTTACACAATCTTTCGTGGTACCACACATACGGGAAATATACTACGAAGTGGCACCGCAAATGCCACTGAACCTTTTTTCTTATTCCACATTCAGTATGAAGACAACCGTGGGTCGCACAAATATAACCAGTGTGTGTAAAGGTACGACGGGTTGAACAATGACATATTAAAGATAAGAACCTATGCAATAAAGCGATGAGTAGTGGAAGGAGAAGCCGCAGGTATCAGATGGTTGCCATTGGCATTGTGGATTGAATGTATTAATCAGCCGGGGAATGACAGAAAAAATATAATTTCTGTTAGCTAGTGAATGGGTTCGAATTTGATCTTACTATTCAGATGAAATGTTGTTAATTCTTTCACCACTGTTACCATTGTGAATTATATTATCAAATGTGTATTTCAATGTCAGAAATACGTAAGCAATCGCATTTGATTCAAAGGAATAGCTTTTATTCGAGAGAAACTCGGTCTCAATGGAATTTACTCATTGGGTTATTGTGGGCTTAGACTGACTCCACTCATACAATGAATCATGCTCACAATCACGTTTGGGCATGGTGACCGACTTATCGATCCATTTTGGTGTAATTCGCTTCCTTACCGGACCGACAGAGGTCAATTAACTCTGGGTTCATTCATTGTTATCTATGATGCACACTCGATCAACGACCATGAACACAACGTTCCTGGGTGGAACGGGTGTGTGTGGGGGGGGAGGGGGGGTAGAACGGCTCACCTCACCCCACCGAAACTTTCATCCTCGCTCGGCAATTCACTTGAAAAGTACTTTTGTTTATTGATGGAGAAGTTAGTTCATTCGGACTGCAGGGGGTTTAGACAGATCTGGTCCAATCGGTGACGTTTGACGGCCGAAACACCAATAACTTTCTTGGGTTCCCAATGGAATGCGATTGTTTGGATTCATTTGAAGTTACAACGGATTCACTTGAAGTTGAAAAGGTATAGAAATGATTTGATCGGAAATCGGATGACATTTGTTTGTACATTCATCCGATCATCGAGATTACTCGTGATATAGTACGTCGGGTGGGCTAGGGAGGGGGTTGTGTAAATAAATGCCCATAACTCCTCCCAAAAGGGAAGATAAATACTCAAAGTTGTCTGAATTAGCGTTTCCATTGCAATTATTTTTCTCGCCAACTTCCGAAATGTCTATTTTTTCATGTTTCACTTTACACTACTGATTAGTAACCATTCACAAACTGAAAATCTTTCGCCGAAAGCCTAATGGTTCCCATCTGCAGACTGCAGACTGCTCGTGCCGATTCCTAGTGTCCGTTGTCAAGCGTATTGCAGATGGGCAGAAGACGGTCATTTTAAAACCAGTTACGTGATTTCACACATCAATTATTGTGGTCTGTGGTTTGGAATATCCCCAATGCTCAGGTGAAAATGCGAATTTTCAGATATTTCATTGTTTAGGGAAAAGATATTAGAAGCGGAGAATTATTTTTATTATCCATTACCATCACTAATATACGATAAGAGATGGCATGAATATCAGATCAGGTTGTACGGTGTGATCGGGCGAGAAGGATCAGTCGGTTTAACGGATTACATTCAATTCATTCAATTGCGATTTGCTATTTTGATCAAAGATTGATTACAGTGTGACAAACTCGGTGTGGATAATCCGTTTTAATTTGTAAAAATGGGAGTGGTGGATCCGAAAAACCAACAGTTAGGCTATGTATGAAATAATTTGTCTTAGTTCTTCAGGCTGGTTCACTGATATCCATGCATTATGACTTTTCGATATCCATAGCATATGCTTTGCTGACTATCGTTAAGTTTCTTCTAAAAACAAGGCCGGATAATGCTCTTATATATGCTGATTGGAGACCATTTAGATCGACTCAGTAGGAGCTATTGACCTAAAAGTCACCGATGTGATAGACAGTTGTACTCGGCATTTCAACTTCCGCAAAATGATACAAATCGGCAACGGATCAGTGTTGTACGTTACTTTCCATATATTGGTTCTCGTTTCTTTGATCTGTTCGGATTCCCCTAGCTCTTTGCACGTAATTTTTACGGGATATTTCAAGTGTCGCGAATTAAGGACTCATCTAACCCTTCTGTTTACAATATTCAACTTTTGTGCATTAAAAAATCGATTCCCTCTAACTTCGTTTTACTCCCCATGCATCGTCTTCTTACTCAACAGTTCGAAGAACTACTGTGTGGTTGAACTTTAATCAGGATCAAGCCATTTAAGCACAGGTCTTGCTTCATTCCGATCAGGTGGTGAGGGCGCAGTGGTTTAGTCGCTGTCACCGGCGTTATTGGGACCTTATGGTCCGAGGTTCGAGCCGCGTTATCGCCACTCGACTTTGGTGCTAGATAGCTCTGCTGTCGTCCGGTTCAATATCACGCCTAACCTATCGGGGCCTTATGTGGTTCGCTACTCCAAGTCCCGGGTCTTAGGTTGCCGGTTTCCACCACTGAACAGCAGGTCTTCGTGACTATGGGGTTCGCTCTGTCTACTGCCTACCACGCCTGGGTGTGTAACAAAAAAGTTCTGTTATGACGTCACCTTGGTCTTTGTTTATAGAGATTAAATGGACGCGACTGACACATATGATGGATTTCTGCAATGAAACTTGTACGATCTCGTCAGCATTTTCGGCCAGTTTTCTTCCCCCAAAATATGCTTTCGTTTTAGAAGGTCATACTCGTTTTCATTCAGCTTGGCAAGAAACCATTCTATTTGCTATCATAAAGTTACAGGTCTTTCGATCTTCAACAATGTGAAACCTTATTTTTATCGTTTAGAATTCTCCATTGGACCTATACAACAGTTATTCGAACGAGTTAAATCGTATGCGCGATCCTGGTCGGCATTCCGGGAGAGAATTCGCTGACTTCAAGGAGACTCAACAACAGCCGCACAGACAAAAACGAAATCCGCACGATAGATACAAGAAATCTTTTCAGTCGGTCGATAACCGGAAATCCCTGACAACTTTTGGAATCCCGCAGGTACTGAATGGAGGTTGTTTTATTGCTGCTGATGAAATTATTGATGAGATTTTGATAGTTATCTCAAAACTGATGTGCAGAAAATTACTTGATGAAATGAATCCTCTATTTTCCCATAATATGGTTAGCGGCAAAATGTAGAAAAATACTGTCTTTCCTAGACCTACCACTTACCCATTTACCAGACAGGAATATTCAGCCTTACGTGCCTCATGCACATACTTTGCCTGGGTAGCAGCTGCACTCCCGAGAATTTTGGCCAGTGCAAGGTATGGTGTCTATTATGTCATGATAGGCAGCACAATGTCGAGGGGTAAACTCTATAATCATGAGGTCTACTGTGTGGTGAGAATGGGGCGCAAGCGAACAAAACGCAACTTGTTCATCCTGCGCATCCCTATGTAAAGGCGGGACAATAAATAAAAGACAAATGTTTCGCAATTCCGCGGTTGTTGGAAAAAAAACAGGCAGTTTGAAAGCCACCGACAGGTTTTTAGAGTTGCCTAGTACGAGTGATTTGGTCTCGGGAACAAACAATAGTGGAAGAGGTTCTGTAGAACAAACTTTGTGGTAGAAAAGAGATAAGGATACCATCGCACGGCAAATGGTTGAAGATTGGATGCTAGGAACAGATCAACTACAAGTTGAACTACTGAACACAGTCAAAAAGTGTCAAAGAAGGATAGGGGTCCCCCAACAGACAGTGTTACACTACTCAACAGCAGCGCTTAGCTGAGCGTTATAAAAGTGGAAGTTCCCCTACCATCTTTGACCGCGGTGATTGCCGCCTTTACTATGTCAATGACTGATCGATGGACTAGTGGAACTACTCCTCGGCTACTTAGCGGGAGAAGTTGCTGGTGCGCTTATGATCAAGAGGTTGTACGAGCAGCCACAAGACAGCAACCAAAACCATCACACGAAAGTGCGTGCCTAATGGTTGGAAGAAAACCGAAAAGGGAGAAATCGAGAAGAGACGAGAGGTTAGGAAATCTTCCTGGACACACATTATGCAAGTTCAACAATATGAAGGAAGCAAGAGAAAAAAAGAGAAAAGTTGGAAGTCACGTCAAACTGCACACGTGGATCGAAGTGAATGAGAGTTAAAAGGCAGATTTGGAGCACAGGGATTGCTTTTTTCTAATATATACGTGAAAGAAGTCTCTGCGGCATTGAAAACCATTCGTATTTTAGCGACCGAAGCAGCAGTGACACACAAGTCTGAATTGAATGAGGCACACACACAGACAACTGATTGTACCTGATAGAGGAAACATGGAAATTGCTAAAAGAAAGTGGACCATTTTAGGTGGCATCATCAGCAAAATTATGTATAAGACTAACGGATTGATATAAAAAGCTCGTTAGTGAACAAAAAGAACTATTTAGAAGGGGGGAGGAATCATGACAAGTTGGAAAAGACATAATCCACGTTCCAGTTCCATGACCGGATGATGTTGCTCACACTTTGGTGCACACTGGTTTGGGTCATTAGGGGTGGGTAGGTAGTGGGATGGCTGTGGTGTGTGGTGTTGGCCATGGAAGACCGAGTGTTCTTACGTCTACTTAGTTCGCAGCCGTCGATCTAAGGGCATTAGAAGTCGCATTCTGACCACAGCGGAAGCGATCGGAATCCGCCTGCACACACACACACACACACACACACACACACACACACACACACGCGCCTTTACTCGCAAAGTAATTCGCATAAAGTAACTGATGATATGCGAAGGAAATGTCGTTGCAGTAGACATCCTGCATAACAATACTGGTCTTTTTCAAATTTATTCGGGGATATCATCGCTTCAAATTAGTAAGAACACTCGACCTTCCATGGCCAACACCACACGCCACAGTCATTCCACTACCTACCCACCCCTAATGACCCGAACCAGTGTGCATGTTTGATCACCAAAGTGTGAGCAACATCCGGTCATGGAACTGAAATGTGGATTGTATCTTTTCCAACTTGTCGTGATTTCTCCCCCCTTCTAAACAGTTTGTTATAAACTGTGATGTATTAGCCTGTAGACGAATCACCGCAAACGAGCTTGTTCGCTACTCTGTGTTTTCTTACATTGCGTAAGGATGGTATATTCGGATGCCAAGTGGGCCGCACAGCCTATGAAGAATCTTCTGGCTGGCTGTGAGTGTCACTGTAGGCTTACACCAAGAAGATTTGGTGTGGGTTATTAGACCACCTCAACGATTTCGTAGTAAAACAGTTTCTACCCAGCCGGCGTATATCAAAGAAATCCAGCTTAACGAAACAGCCGTGGATTTCAGGATGCAACCAACTTTCTTACGACATAATTATCCCCAATATATGGTATTTTTTATCCTCATCAATTTCGCGTAATCGATCACTTTTCAAAATAGTGCTTGTACGTTTGATAAGAAAACAGCGAATATAGTCCTTTTTAAGGTTTTGTATTGCCTAAAGTCATTTGCCAGGCTACTACGTGCTTTTTGAGGAAACCAGACATTGTATCTATTTTTAACTTGACGACTGAACTAATAAGCAATGCCACTTTTGGGCAATAATACATGAGGTTTTGAATTCTCTAAATATTCCGGGGCGTAGGTGATCATAAAAGTGATGAAGGAAATTTGATATAAACAATTAAATCCATTAATTGTCATAAAGGTTGATAAATTATCCATTGGAGCACAAATTTGTGAAGGCCCCACCGTTTATAATAATCAGTTTCGGTTATTTTTGATTATGACAGATGACACTTTACATCCTTTCTGTTTTCGCACCTTTTCAGATCAATAGTGAAGCTGCCGAGGTCAGGGAATCTCGTATCCCCCGGAGAACTGAGCGGAATTTGAGAGCGACAACGGAAGCCCCACTGCAATCGTGGCTTCGGACAGAAGAGACAGGAGTGATTTCACAAGATTGGGAGATCTGACAGCAGCCACCTGACACTGGTTTTGGTGTATACAGACAAACAGAAACTGTATTCCCGTGTGTATGTGTTGAAGGCGCACCTGTACCTTTGTTTAAATGTGTCTGATTCTTTACTTCACGTAACCTATGTGCATCGAACGATTTGTATCTGAACCAATACTATTTGTTTACAAAGTGTCTTGTCAAGTGGTTACACGCTCGATCCTCAGTGGGGCGATGGATTCAGATTGTTATTGATAATCAACAAATTGAAACGTCTGTGCGGTGCTTCCTAGTTCCCAGATCACATTGTCTTTGCTAATCTGTTACACATGTTGAAGAGCTTTGAAAGCACTGTAAAGTAGGCATTCCAAGAATTTGGGTAAAAAGGCAGCTCACGCACCTGAGGTGCACCAACCCAAACTGGTTGGTCACATGATCAGATGAGTAGCCATGTCCACTGGTTGGTGTTCTTTACATCCGTATACTTGCGACTCGTATGCGTGTGCAACATGGTACATCACCGACCTGATTGTGTGATGGTGGCAGGATTCAAACTCTGGAGCTGCGTAATTAAGGAGTATAACTAATGAAAAACGAACGTGTTGCGTGATAGAAATGATTGACTTTCTGGCGTGTGACGAACGGATTTTATCCTTCATATACCAACTAAGCACTGAACATTTGTCTTGAGTCACTTAGACCATTGCCTTTCCTGTTTACACTGAATGTACAGAACGAACGAGTAATCATTCAAGGAAGGGTTGGTTACCCCGGGTTCTAAGAAGTTACAGAATAAACTTTAGTATAGTGCTGGTCAAGTGGTTAGGTCACTAACTAGTGACCTGGGTGTTCCGGGTTTAAACCGCTCCACCGCCGCTCGTCTTCCCTATATCTGTATTTTCCCCAGGTAGCCTTTGTATGACGGCAACCCTCTTCCTGAAAGTTGACTGTACATTTGTATGTTCAATAAATAGAAAAAGGAAGTAAAAAGATATTTAAAGACATTTTAAATCCAGTGTAACACTAACAGCTGAAGAATTTTGTATTTTGGAATGAGCCCATTTGATTTTGCAGGCACTACAAAAGTCGCAAGGAGATGGGGGGAGTTCTTTGATTCTCCACAGTTGAATTGCATTTTTATATTCCATGAAACTTTGTGTGTGATCGCTGATAACGAGTATACGAATTCGCTTCATCATTGTTGGGACTTACAGCCGCGTTTATCGGTATTGCGTCTCCGGAGGGACTCGAACCGTGGACCTGCTAGGTGGGATGCAAAACCTTCACTCTAAAGCTTTACAGAAAAGCAGAGTGCGGAGGGCACCAAACTGATTCTGGCTTTTGTGATTTATGTTGTGTTTGTGATTTTTTAACATCCATTTCTTTTGTGGTTTTCATTCCGTTAGATTTCATTTGATCCCCATACGTTCAGTACATTTCACTTGTGAAAAACAATAATGTTTCGGCTCCCCGTCCACTACTCAAGTAGACTGACTGGTTGAGCTGCAGAGAGAGGGGGGAGGGGACGGTTGCGAGTTACCACGACTACACCAAACAATTGGATCGTTGCAGGGATACGACTATATCTCTTCAACTTTAAGTGAATCCGTTGTAACTTCAAGTGAATCCAACCAATCGCACTCCATTAGAAACCCCGACAAGATGATTGGTGTTTTGGCCGTCAAATGTCACCGCACACACACACTGTCATAAAATGGTTACCCGGAAATGTTCATCAATCGCAACTGGTCTGAAACAATAAAACAGGTTGTTACAGATAGAGCTGAGAAAAAAAGACTTTGATCATCGAACTTCCGTTCAAAGGAGATCCAGCATCTGAAAGGGTTAGTAGAGTCCTGAGTGCCGCAGTCAAAACAACGTTCAATGCTGCCAAACGCAGATGCGTGTTCTCAACATCACCCGTCATCAGAAAAAGTTGCCTATGTTGACCTCGTCAATGCTCATCTACCAATGCAAGTGCACCTGTGGTGCCACTTATGCAGGTCGTACGACAGGCAGTTATCTAAGCGCATCAAGGAACATCAACCTACTTGGCTTAGACACGGAGGAATCGGAGTTATTTCCAGTGCCATTGTTGCGCACTTGGTCGAAACTGGACATAGGGTGGATACTAATTCTACTTTCATCATCATCTATAGCGTCCCACAACACAACTCCAAGGCTGTTCGAATTAAAACGCTAGCAACAGCCGAGGCAATTATCATCCACTTGTTGAAGCCAGAATTGTGCTCAAAAAACACTTGTTCAGGCACTCAAACTTCCCTTGCCCAAAGCGGACAACATCACGCATGAGCGTTGCGATGACCCAAATCGATTATCAACGATTACGTAACCCGTTCTTATCTGAACATGAGAACGAGTGACAAATGTGTCCCTACCCCACCCTATTGCTATAATTGTCTGACCTTGACTGTTTGACCCCAAAACAACACTTTCCCGTTATTTTATCACATAAATGTGATTGTACTAGCTTGATAAGGAACTCACCGAAAGCATATGTTCGCCTACAACCTGTGTTTTGATTATATAACTGTCCCTGGTCATAATCAATGTGCGATCACTGCGATCACCTTCTGAAAGATGTGCGTCAAAAGTTAAAGTCGGCTCTCAGCCGCGCATTCCCAGCTGCTCAACTCCGACTTGTCACCTCTACTCATGAAGTCGATTTGGACAAACGTGTGCGTGTTTGGCAGTCCGGTTCTATCTCACACACTGTATACCAGTTCACTTGCAGTTGCGGTGACGCATACATAGGCAGAACCAACAGTCAATTATCACAGCGGATGGCCGAACACATTCCAAAGTGGTTAGTAAGGTCAATGACGCAACCTTTGTCTATA